ACTGTAACACTAGTTAGCAAAAAAAGACAAACATTATTCTGGGATGTATTAGCAGGAGTGTTGTAAGCAAGACACGAGAAGTAATTCTTCCGCTCTACTCCGCACTGATTAGACCTCAACTGGAGTATTGTGTCCAGTTCTGGGTGCCACATTTCAGGAAAGATGTGGACAAATTGGAGAAAGTCCAGAGAAAAGCAACAAACATGATTAAAGGTCTAGAAAACATGACCTATGAGGGAAGATTGAAAAAATCAGGTTTGTTTAGTCTGGAAAAGGGAAGACTGAGAGGGGACATGATAACAGTTTTCAAGTACATAAAAAGTTTCTACAAGGAGGAGGGAGAAGAATTGTTCTTCTTAACCTCTGAGGATAGGACAAGAATCAATAGGCTTAAATTGCAGCAAGGGAGGTTCAGGTTGGACATTAGGAAAAACTTCCTAACTGTCATCGTGGTTAAGCACTGGAATAAATTGCCGAGGAAGGCTGTGGAATCTCCATCATTGAAGATTTTTAAGAGCAGGTTAGACAAACACCTGTCAGGGATGGTCTAGATAATTAGCCCTGCCACGAGTGCAGGGGAATGGACTAGATGACCTCTCGAGGTCCCTTCCAGTCCTATGATTCTATGATTCTATGATTTCTTTCTGTTCTTACAGGTCACAGTTTTGGCTGAATAAACGTCCATGGCAAACCAGACAACAGTGACCGAGTTTATTCTCCTGGGACTTTTTAGTGACCCACAGCTCCAGACTTTCCTCTTCCTGGTGTTCCTAGTTATTTACCTGTCCACCCTAGTGGGCAACGTGGCCATCATGTTGGTGAGAAGGGCTGATCCCCACCTGGGCACCCCCATGTATTTCCTCCTTTCCCATTTATCCTTCTCAGATATCTGCTTCTCCTCAGTAACGGTGCCTAAGATGCTGGAGGCCCTCTTATCAGAGCTGAAAACCATTTCTGTCAGCTGCTGCTTTGCCCAGATGTTCTTCCTCCTCCTGTCAGGGTGTAGTGAGGTTTTCATTCTCTCAGCAATGGCTTATGACCGATACGCTGCCATCTGCAACCCGTTGCGTTATAGCAGGACAATGAGCAAACGCGTCTGCAGTCAGCTGGTGGCCGGTGCATGGCTGATCGGATCTTTGTATGCCCTCATCAACACGCTCCCTCTGTTGGACTTACATTTCTGTGGGCCTAATGCAATCAACCATTTCAGTTGTGAGCTCCCCTCCCTGGTGGCCCTGTCCTGCTCTGAGACCTTCACTAACGATATGGTGTTTCTCACCTCTGCTCTGACTGTAGGTCTGGTCTCATTCTCCCTTACCCTGGGCTCCTACATTTATATCCTCACCACCATCCTGAGGATACGCTCCGTGGAGGGCAGGCGTAAAGCCTTCTCCACCTGCAGCTCCCACCTCATTGTGGTGGGTTTATGCTACGGGACGGGTTTGTTTAGGTATTTCAGACCCAATTCGGTCTCTTCGGTGGTACTTGATGGCCTGGTATCCATCCAGTACAGCATCTTAACCCCCATGTTAAACCCCCTCATCTACAGCCTGAAAAACAAGGAGGTGAAGGCAGCTCTGAGGAGACTACTGGGGGGAAAGAACCACCCAGCTCCAGGGTAACCCAAACATTATGTTGAATGTGTAATAAAGAAGCAGAGAAGTGTCGATAGCTGACTGCTCAGGTTTTCTGCTAGTGTATAGCGTGGTGAGACTTTGAACCTATGTATTTGTAACCAATTGGGGTTAGGTTGTGAGGGCATCTCAATCATCTTCAAGGACAAGTATGATGGGGTTCTCAAAGCCCTCAAAACGTCTGGGCAATTGGAGAACTTTCCACAATTTTGAATGGACTTTCCCTGCTCCATGCTGATGGCCTGTTGGCTCCAATATAAGAATGTAAGAATGGCCATGAACTTATCAAGTTCTTTTTTGAACCTTGTTATAGTCTTGACCTTCACAACATCCTCTGGCAAAGAGTTCCACAGGTTGACTGTTAGTTGTGGGTTTGTTTTAAACCTGCTGCTTATTAATTTCATTGGGTGATGCCTAGTTCTTGTGTTATTTCCTTATTTACTTTCTCGACACCACACATGATTTTATAGACCCCAATCATATCATTCTTACTCATCTCTTTTCCAAGCTGAAAAGTTCCAGTCTTATTAATTTCTCCTCATATGGCCCCCTCTCCCTGGCATGTCCCCTCTGCCTTCACTTTTCTTTCCACTTACCTGATCGCCTCCATCTTTAAAAAACACATCAAGTCTCTGACCTGCTGCTTGCTGCTGTGGCATGGTTCCCCGCTGGTGTGTTCTCCCCCCATTCCCCACCCCGCATCTGTCTGGGCTATGCAGTCTGCCAGCTCTCTGGGGCTGGGACCATCTGTGTTTGTCCAGCACCTAGTGCAGTGGGGCCCCTGCTTGGGGGGCTTGATCCTCCCATATGCAAAGTTCACACAGTGCAAAGCGAGTGTGAGCTGGCTGGAGAACTCCCTCTGAAGCAGGAGAATCTCTGGCAGGGGTAAGGAGGTGGATATGCCGCATCTGCTGCTTCCTCCTCTGACAGTGCTGTGCTGCCCACCAGGAAGGGGCTGGCATGGAGCGGGTGGATCAGGGCAGGAAAGGGATGGCAGTGAGCGTGGTGGAGGGAGGCCCTCCTACCCCTGATTTTCCCGCAGTTATGTGAAGTTCGGGCACAGGGAGCGTAGTTCGCGTGCGCACAGAGAAGAGCTAGGCCATATGCATGGAGTACAGCAATGCCTGTGGTTACAATTGTCATAGTGGTATAATTTTAACTGCTGGGGTTGGAATTGTCCCTGTTCACCCTCTGCCTCAAGTTCAATTTGTTTTTTCCAAGTTTGAGCAAAATCAATTCCACCCTCCCCAAGAACAGGGCGTGGGGCCACTTTCCTCAGCCCTTTTCTGCACTGCTCTGGCAAGTTGAAGCTTGGCAGACGGGCAGTCCTGGGGTCAGCATGAGGTCTGTAATGCTCCCAGTCATAGACAGCGTGTGACTCCTCCATTTGGGGAGGCTGGGTACACCCGGAATGTGGCCCTGCCTTGATGCCTCCTCCCCCTGAAGCCCCGCCCATGCCCCACCCCCGGCTCCGCTCAGTCCCCCTGCCTACCTCTTCCCCTGAAGCCCCCCCCCCCCCGCCCACCGCACGCACACCTCTTCGCCCCCTCCCCTGGGAACACCTGCCTGCCCACCTACCAGCTGCTCACTGCTCCTACGTGCCTCTTCTCTGCCACCCCCAGACTCCCATGTGGGTGGAGCAGGGATGGGAAGAGTGGAGGGAGCCTGGTACCTCGTGCGGGAGGAGAATGAACAGGAGCAGGACCTTGGGGCGGAGCATGGGCAGGGCCATAGCCAGGGCACCCTTTCAGCGGCGGGACACTCCAAAGGTGGTGAGCCGGCTGTTTGGGGAGGCTTAGCCTCCCTTGGCCTCTTATACCCTCTGCCCATGGTCCCAGTCAAAATCCATCCAAGTTTGGGTGAGTTATCAGGCATAGAGCATCACCATTTGCACATGCCCAGAAAAACATGTCCAAAACTTGTCATTCAAGGTTCCTAATTGCACTCCGCATGCAGCCAGGTCTCCGCTGACTTCTATCAATAGTTAGCCCTTTTACAGACTTTGCCCAGCTGAGAGGTTTCACAAAGTCACGGCAGACAGAGCTGGGAAAGAAAACAGATCTTTAGTAAGGGGGCCTCCAGGTTTGGTTCAGCAGTCCTGGCTCTTAGGTGGAACCTGCCAAATCTATGTGTGTGCATATGCTGTCTGTAAAATGAGGCAATTCCTGCATATTAAACCAATTCCCCTCTAGGGGCTGGACCAGTGGGTATAATAAGCTACTACTAGGGGTAGCAAGTGAAGTACTAGAGTATAATAGCTACCAGTAAGGTGCTAACTTCCTCTTCTAGTTCAAGTGGCAGAGGGCTGTGTAATGGATTGGACGGTCCTGGGTGCAAAACCTGCTGGTGTTAGATGTGGGGAATTGTTTCTGTTACATTTAACAATTGAGATATGTGTACTCTTTTAGAAAACCCTAGGAAATCCCATTCAAAATCCTACATTAAGGATGAAATTTTCAATTTTACTAATCTAGCACTCTAAAGTACTTTTATGGGCCACATTACTGTAGCATCGGAACGTCTCCCAGTCTGCAAAGTGTTTATCCTCATAATGCCACAGAGAGGTATTATTCCCATTGCACCGATGGGAAACTGAGGCACAGAGAGACTCGGGCACAGATCCACCAAGGGACTTGGGCAATGGCGAGTGTTTTAGATACCTAACCACACAGTGGCATCTCCAGCCCCAGGTTAGGTGCCCTATACATTGCATGGTAAGAGTTTGGGCACCTAGGAATGGGATCCACAAAGGAAGCACACTAGGCAGGGAACCACCTAAGCGAGCCAGGGGGAGATGCTGAGGAGGAGGGTGGGGCCTAAAATCTCTCAGGGGCTGGACCAGAGGGAGGCACCTCCCTCTGCTTGTTGTTCTCAGCTGTGACCCTCTCCTGGAGTTAGGCACCAAAGCCATTTTGCAAGGAATTCTGGGAGGTGGGGCGGAATGAAGAGGGAAGCGCACCCCTATCCCAATGGCTAGGGTGCTTCCCTGTGACGTGTGACATGGGAGACCCCAGTTTAATTCCCTTTCCCTCCCCAGTTGTCTTGTGTGGCCTTGGGCATGTTCTGAGTATGCCACCCAGGCGAGGAAGACAGGACAATGTCGAGTTGGGGTATCTTGCTATGGCTTTGCTGTGAGATGGGCGCCAGTCGTTGTGATTCAGGTAGCAAGGCACAAGCCCCGTGGCTGAAACTTAGGCACCTTGGGGACATTAGTGGGGAAAATTTAAGTGTCTAGGGGCTTTTAGATGCCTCCAGAGTTAGTTGGCAGCTGATCAGGAGTTCTCAGGATCTCAGTGGCTTCTAAAAGTCAGGCTTAGGGGCCTGATATGGCAGATAGGTGTCTAAATCCTTTTGTGGGTCTGGGTCTAAGTGACTTGCCCAATACGTAGGAAGTCTGTGGTGGAGCAGGGACTTGAACCTAGCTTTCCTCTAGGCTAGTGCCCCAACCACTAAGGAGGATGAATTGAATTTCTATGGGAGTTGGGCACCTAAATCCCTTGCGCCCTTTGAAAATCCCAGTCTCTGATGTGCTCTTGGGAAGAAATGTTAATACTGCCTAGGAGACCGTGCCAAAATCCTTGAGCAGGTTTGGAAAGTGCCACCCAGAATGTCTAGCAGAGAAGAGCACAGGTTGTATGTCTCAGAACCGAAGCGAAAATCGCAGCTGCCACTCACAGAATGACGGACTCCTTGAAATGTAAAGGTGCAGCACATGGAGAACAAAAGAATAATGGTGAGGCTGGTGGAGAAAGACAGATATGGGCTAATTCAAACTAAATCCCATTCTTCACACCACTTCTGCTTCCATTCCCTGTGTTTGGTGCCCCCAAAGCCCCTTAGCAGACCCCGTAGGCACCCTCCATAGATCATTGGATCCCAGATAGCTGGGTCAATGAAACCCCTCTGAACCCAGGCCCCACATCCATGGAGCTTCTGTTAACTCAACTGTGGTTACACAGCGATGTATACCCCAACCCCAGTGGGTTTTTAAAGGACTAAGGACCTCACCCACAGATCCCCGAGCAATGTGGTGGATTCTCCATTCTTTGACATCTTTTAGAGTGACTTGCTAAATGATACGCTATAGGTGAAACCCAAATGATAGGACTGGCTGCAGAAGTCAGTGGGTGGATCTGTCTGGATAACATTCTGCAGGTCTGACTAGATGGTCTGATGGTCCCTCCTGGCCTTGAAATCTATGAATCTTTGAGTCCTACTATCCTTGATTCATGTGAGCATGCTCACTGGCTTCAGTGGGACAACTAACAGCTGCATCTAAGATATTCAAAAGAGCCTAAGGGATTTAGATGCCAAGTACCATTGACTTTCAGAGGAAGATGGGCGCCTAACTCCTTTAAGCTTTTTTTTTTTTTTGGCAATCCCAGGCTACCTGCACATGGAGGTGTTTGCATGATGTAAGAAAGGACTTTAGGAGGGCTTTCTAAATGTCTCATCTGGCACAATGCTGATGTCCTCAGGGTTATCACTGCTCAGCCCATGGCAAAATGCCACCCTGAGGTCACTAATGAGGCAGATGATGTGCTGTGGTCACTTCTTTTCATGCTGAACAGTCCTGTCTCATTTTACCTTGTCCTCCCTCTGTCTGTCTTTTGTATCCACCTGTTCTCTTGTCTTACTTAGTGAGCATTTCACAGCACAGACTGTCTTTTCAACATTTGTCTCTACATGGCCTAACACTACAGCTGGATGGAAAACTAATGCTTTCCATCACAAAATGCCGTTTTGATTAAACCGTTTTTAAAACATCATATCAATTTCATGTAAGAAAACTAGAAAAACATTTCAAGAATGTCAGAATGGGATAGTCTGACATTTTCAGAACAAAAACTATCAATTGTTCATTTCAAAATTTCTAACAACTTTTCCCAATATAAGAAATATTCCAAAATATCAGATTCATCATAACACATAATGTAAATCAAGAGGGTTAGGATAAAAGGAGTGGAAGCAATGTATTTATCTTCAGG